TCCTGCTAATTGAAGAGGCAATTTGGTGGGCGCTAGTGCATTCTGCACACGCTGCCAGCACATAAGACAGAGATTGCCCACACGGGTGGAAAAGGGTGGGAAAACAAAGCGGTGCAGTCTGAAATACCAAAACCACTTCAGAGACGTCTCCTTACCGGTAGGGGAAAGGCTGTGTGAAATGGCAGCCCTGTACCAGTTTACTCCAAGATGGTACAATAACGGCTTAAAAAGGGTAATGTGAAATTCCCCAATGTTATGCAGTTAGAGGTGCTCCGAAATAAAAGTACCAATTAAAGTTCAGCACACCTTTATGACTCAGTCTATCTGGCAAGCCCGAGCCCTGATCCACAATGCACTATAGTTGGCAATTGCTTAGACGGCAACAGCATGGAATGAGTATCGTGGGAAATTATTTGTATAGAGTGGCTTCCCATGTGGGTTGTAGCACCTTCCTTCTCTTGCCAGTTTGGTGTAGTGGTTAAGTGCACGGACTCTAATCTGTGAGAACTGGGTTTGACTCCCCACTCCTCCACTTGCACCTGCTGGATGACCTTGGGCAAGCCATAGTTCTGTCAGAGCTGTTCCTGAAGAAGAGCAGTTTCTCTCAGAGCTCTCTCAGCCCCACCTACCTCACAGGGTGTGTGTTGTGGGGAGGGGAAAGGAAAGGAGTTTGTAAGCCACTCTGAGACTCCAAAGCTCCTCCAGGCTAAAATCATGAGACCTGTCTTGGCTGCATAAATGCAGCAGCTCCCTAATCACCAAGGTACAATAAGAGCAGAAAGATGTTCAGTACATAACACTTATCAAATGGTACTCTGTTCATAAGGGCCCAAAATGTGATGTATGTAGTTGAGCTCAGTAAGAAACAACATTAAAGAGGAAGTAATATAAAGAGAAATACCTATCTGAGGTGTACAGTAATAAGTACACGGAATTAACCTTGTGCATTAATAAGGGCTCAGCTCTTTTAAAAATGATCACAATTTTACTCAAAACGTAACTTGGTGTCCTCTGCTCTTGCTGCCCTCTGGCCTTTACTCCTATGGCAAGCTTCTTTAACTAGCAAGGGCTAATTGCTAGTTAAAGCATACCTACCGAGCAGCCAGTGATGAGTTGTATAAATAATATCCATTACTGCAAAAAAAAAAAAAAGTGTGAAATCTTTCACTGATGACTGTAAGATATATCAGGGTACAGATGGCTGTGGCAGGGTAGAATTACATCCCTAAAATACTGGCACATAAGAGACACCACACCAGGAGGGATTATACTGGTTTCACCACATGTTATTACAACTGTGGACTTTGAAATTAATATTTGTTTTATTTATACCTCTTATTTTCCAAAAAGCCGGGATGGCAGTTGGCTATGGCTGGGAAGGCAGGGTAGAAATTCGAAAAATAAATACATAAATAAATAAAATAAACTCTGTTTCCTGATACCCTGGGAAAGAAACATAAGCCACTACAGCTAACTGGTTAGAACTGTCACATTAGAGAGGGTTTCTGTAAGATAGGTGCACGACACAAATGAGGTTAATAAATCAACAAATATATTAAGATCATGCTGAACGCAGTCGATGGGGTGACTCTTTTGTGTGCCAAGTATCCTTGGCATATTCAAAAAAAAGGGAAATCTGAAAAAGCAAGAGAACAGAAAAATTACCATGATGTGACGTGGATGTCCTTGAGAAGACTGATAAACCTGTCTACCAGGGGCACACAGAGAGGACCCAGGATGGCATCCCAGTTGGGCTGCATGTACTCAGAAGCTCTCCGCTGGGCATCACTTTCGCAACAAAAATAATCAGCACAAGGCGTCACAATGTATGGAATGAAGTAATAATTGCCACTTGAAGCCTGAAGAAAACAAGGCATGGAAATATTAGTGTGAATCATTAAAAAAACAGGAGCTTTGATACGCTCAGTCTGAATGGCCTATCAGTTAAATACTTATCATTAACAATGCAACAAAAAACTGAAAACTGTGTTGTGAAGCTCCACACTTTCAATATACTTTTAGACATTCCTATGAAGCAAGATCATAATTTCTAAAATTTCCAAAGTATTAAGGCTATAGCTATGGCTATGAATGCGGCATTTGATCTAAACTTCAGCGAATGGAGTAGGCTTCTGGAAATCTTGTATTCAACCCAAATGAAGTACAGAGTTCAGGAATACAGAGTGCAGCTGCCATCTAATCAAGGACAAGATGGCAAGTGTTCTGTATCATGGGAATGAACAACTGTCTGGGTCTGACATGTACCCCCTCAGTGATGACCAAGAATTACATTCTCTACATCCACCGAGTGCCATTGATGAAAATGTCTGGAAAGGAAATGAGAAAAGGTATGGAAATGACTCTGAAAAAGTTACTCTATCACATCCATCCTACACTTTCCCCTCCATAATCACTGCATGGAAAGATGTTCTTATATTTGTGTTGGGACTGCTGAGTATTAAGGACTTTCTAGAGATTCCTAAATTCAAGACAAAAGCAATGGGACAGACTGAACACATCTAGATCATTCAATCTGTAATACGATGCTGAAAGAAAAACAGCCTTTTCTTCACTGTGCTACATTAAAAAGCAAATTTTAAAAAGCTTGAACTGGAAACAAACAATTTCTCTGTATGAATTTCAGTGTGCTCTATTTACTGAATCACATATATCAAGGTAATTGCTCATATGACTACCAACCTCAAATACGGATATCCTATACTGTTTTCATGGTTTTAAACAAGATACGTAATCTTGTTTAAAACCATTTTAAACAAAATATGTAATCTTTCCTTAAAATCTGCCTCCATTCCTGAGGACTGGAAGGTAGCTAATGTCACTCCCATCTTTAAAAAGGGTTTCAGAGGAGATCCGGGAAATTACAGGCCAGTCAGTCTGACGTCGATCCCAGGTAAATTGGTGGAAACCATTATTAAGGAAAGAATTAGTAGGCACATAGATGAACAAAATCTATTGAGGCAGACTCAGCATGGGTTCTGTAAGGGAAGATCTTGTCTCACTAACCTGTTAATGTTCTTTGAGGGGGTGAACAAACATGTGGACAAGGGGGACCCAATAGATATTGTTTACCTTGACTTCCAAAAAGCTTTTGATAAAGTTCCTCATCAAAGGCTCATAAGTAAGCTCAAAAATCATGGGATAAAAGGACAAGTCCTTTTATGGATCAGAAATTGGCTAATTAATAGAAAACAGAGAGTGAGTATAAATGGGCAATTTTCTCAGTGGAGGGAGGTAAGCAGTGGGGTACCGCAGGGATCAGTACTCGGTCCAATGCTTTTTAACTTGTTCATTAATGATTTGGAGTTCGGAGTAAGCAGTGAAGTGGCTAAATTTGTGGATGATACGAAGTTGTTCAGGGTGGTGAAAACCAGTGAGGATTGTGAGGCACTCCAAAGGGATCTGTCAAAGATGGGCAAGTGGGCGTCAACATGGCAAATGGGGTTCAATGTGGCCAAGTGCAAGGTGATGCACATTGGAGCCAAAAATCCTAACTATAAATACACGTTGATGGGGTCTGAACTGGCAGAGACTGATCAAGAGAGAGATCTTGGAGTTGTAGTGGATAACTCACTGAAAATGTCGAGACAGTGTGTGACTGCAATAAAAGAGGCCAATGCTATGCTGGGGATTATTAGGAAGGGTATTGAAAACAGATCAGCTAATTCATAATGCCCCTATATAATTCAATGGTGCGACCTCATTTGGAATACTGTGTGCAGTTCTGGTCACCACACCTCAAAAAGGATATTATAGCTTTGGAAAAAGTGCAGAAAAGGGCAACTCGAATGACAAAAGGGTTGGAACACTTTCCCTATGAGGAATGGTTAAAGCGCTTAGGGCTCTTTAGCTTGGAGAAACGACGACTGAGGGGGTGACATGACTGAGGTTTACAAGATTATGCATGGGAAAGAGCAGGTAGAGAAAGAGGTACTTTTCTCCCTTTCTCATAATACAAGAACTCGTGGGCACTCCATGAAATTGCTGAGCGGTCGGGTTAGAACGGATAAAAGGAAGTACTTCTTCACCCAAAGAGTGATTAACACATGGAATTCACTGCCACAGGAAGTGGTGGCGGCTACAAGCATGGACGGCTTCAAAAGGAAATTAGATAGGCATATGGAGCAGAGGTCCATCAGTGGCTATTAGCCACAAGGTATAGATAGGGGCTCTGGGGCAAGTGATGCTCTGTCTTCTTGGTGCTTGGGAGGGGTTAACAGTGGGAGGGCTTCTAATGTCCTGGCCCTACTGGTGGACCTCCTAATGGCACCTGGTGTTTTTGGCCACTGTGTGACAGAGTGTTGGACTAGATGGGCCTTTGGCCTGATCCAACATTGGCGTCTCTTATGTTTATGTTCTTAAGATATTTCATCATTTCACAACTATATAAGGTAAATTTCCATAGGGAGAGTTTTTAAAATGCTGGATCTTCCTAAATTGAAGTGTGTCTTGGTTTAATTCAATCTGTAGGGCTAGCACAGAGACAACATTCTCAGTCTCTTGATCATCATTATCAGATTTAAAACAGACCTGGGAACTGTGTACTCCTATTCCCACCTTCTGTCCCCTTGTGTCCTGCACAAATGTTCCAAATTGGTCTTAACTTCTTTTAAATTTCATGCTTAGTATGTGCAACAATACCAATGTAACCATGCATGATTAGTGGGAAAAGATTGGAGGAATCAACTGTGGAGAAGTAAAGATCTGGGGAAAAGAAAACACTTCGTTTTTGCTAACAATGTAAAGAGAGGCAAAGTATGCAAGAATTGGAAATTCAGGGGAAATGTGGATGTAGAGTGAGGGCCACGGAAATGATTGTACTCTGGACTCGACACATCGATTATTCCTGAAATTTTAGTCAGCCGCACAAAGCTACCAGTTTCCTTTGTCTCAGATAAATCTTCATCTTCCACTTAAATTTAGACTAAGGACAGAATACAATAAAAGTAGAGAGAGTGATAACTGGACAATCTCTATGTTTTATATATGGTTTACAGAAGAAACAAACTAAAATAATTTCAATAAAGTTCAATTTCAAACAAAGTCCATATAAAAGCAACACCTGGAGTATACAGTTCTTCTTGGTAAGTTTTCCCTTTATTGTTCCCTTATCTGTATATACACCAGTACACACACCCTCCAATGAATGGGCTTTTCAAATTTGTAGAATCATAGAGTTTGTATGAAAGGACCACTAAAAGTATGTCAAAAGAGCTACATAAAACAACACCCACATATATGGTAAAAGATTTAAAACAAATCTGGACATTTGATAGGGGGGTGCTGCCCCGTGTGCCCCACCGCTGGCTATGGCCCTGCCTCAGACCCACAGAAGTGAGATCAAACAAAAGGCAAATAAAATGTGAGCAGTTTGCAGTTCAATAGTATACCTCTAGCTTGGGAGAGAGAAAGAGAGAGACTATTCTATTTATCCACTGTTGATCTGAAGAACCGTTGTGAACACAACTCACCCACTTTTGAGCCTCATTCTGTTGTTCTAGAATTGTGGGTAATCAATGAAGTGGGGGACTGAGATGCAGGATATTTTCTTTCTTGCTCTGACTTTCCCACAGTCCCCTACATGTATGGAGCAAACATGTACACAACCTCTATGTAACTAAATTCTATTCAGACCTTTGGATCAATGTGTGGAGGTCAGGAGTGGGGAAAGAATGTGCAGTTCCACTCCCCATCCCACAATTACCCATGTTTCCTGAATGCACCGAGACCACACTTGCTTCTGCAAATAATGCAGAAGATGCATGTAGGGTTATCAAATGACTGAATGCTCCTCAAAATCAAATGAAAACCTCCTGCTTGAAGAAAATTGGCTTGTTACTTACTGTGAGGGTTCTTGCCTAGCCATCCCCTGATTTACTGGCTTCCGATGTGTAAGGAATGCTTTTCAGCACAGCAGGTAGACATTCAAAGATTAAAACCTTCATCCACATTCCAAAGTGACACAGTGCAAGGAAAGCTATGCCACATGCTTTTTACAGAATGCACAGAACAACTCTGTAACCGTAAGGAACTGTTGACCAGATATAACTAACTGCCCAATCCTAAAACAGACAGCAAACCGACAGCTAGGATGAATTACAGTAACTTCCACCAGCACATTATGTTAATGTCAGTGCAGGGGCAATATGATGGATCAGAAGCAGACAGACTAGCAAAACTGAGGAAATATTGGAGTAAAAGGACTTTTTCAGTCATATGCATAATCTTAATGTGGAAACAGTCTAGGGGGCGCAAACAATGGCAACTGGGAGGTATACGTACATACCACATTATAATCTAAGAAAAGATGCTTTTGAAAAAATTCTTATGTGCTATGCAATATTAGAAATTGGCAACAGTAGCAGTGCTGCCTTTGTGCCCTGCAGCATTTGTGCCCATGACCTCCCGCACTTCCAGTAAACACCGTCTCAAGACTGAGATGGACGGAGCATGTGACTTTAAGCCATCAGGTGTGCTTAATGAGCACAGCCATTCTCCTTGTCTACCCACATCTCAAACCTCTATGAAACTATACTGGTAGGGAAAAAAAATTAATTGCTTCTAAATGCTTGAATTGGAATAAACAAAATGAATGGCTTCTAAATGCTTGAACTGGAATAAACATTACAAGGTAGGCTGATTCATTACTTGAACAGAGGAAACTGCCTCTGTCTGTCTGTGTGTGACAAGAAATGGGAAAAGTCATTAGCAGTTGCTTTGAAGCTCTTCAGGCCTCCTATTACTTTTTTAGTTCTTCTCAAAGAAGGCTGACACCTAAAATTAGTGCTTTGCTATTTCAAATTATTGCAGGTGGCTTATGGTGCAATTACATTTATACCCT